AAACAAGAAGATGCCTAGTGTGGTTGTAAAGAAGGGAGGTGGGGGCAGGTGGCAAGAGATGAGGTTGGAGAGCCAGGTAGGGCCTTGTCACCCAAGGCAGACATGGTTGGGACTGTATTCCAGGTACCATGGAAATCATTGGAGGATCACAGGATACACAATATCCCTCAGACCATGAAATTAGGCGAGCAGTTGGTTCCTAAATGACAAGGCATCCTGTGGAGTCATGTCTTTGGTGATAGTCTGCCCCTCTCCCCTTCAGTACATGGGCCCCTGAGGTTTAAGCCATGGTTGACGGTCAGTCCATCTGTTGGAGGAGCCCTTACTAGGGCTGTGCTTGATATCTGGCCAGGTCTGTACGTCGTTTCAAGGGTTCCACTAATAGGGAGTCCTGGTGTGATGCCGTGGGATAAGTGCTCAACTACAAGATTGGAAGTTCAGACTCAACAGTCACTCCTCGGAAATCCTATACAAATAGGTCACTGTAAGTTGGAACCTACTTAACAGCACTTAACAACATAGGACATAACATAGGACTGGGAGTTTAACACATCTGCTGGCATACCCTGTGGGCCTTAGTGATAGCTCCTCAGACTTGAGAGGTTCTGTGTACCATCCTGGAGGTAGTGACATCACCTTCCCTCCCCATTGCTCATCTGCCGCCTGTCCCTGCTCTGTTCCAGCTAGGCCAGTATCTCCCTGCTTTGAAGGGTTAGGAAAATTCTGAGATCATCCCCCATGAGATCACTCAGTGTTTGGACTGGTAGGTTTGTTGTGACCTCCTGCTTGATGCCTTTGATTAGGGGCAGCAACATTGATTCAGGCCTGCCTTACCCTTCTCGGAGACACTGGTGTTAGCCCCACGTGCCAGGAGCAGCATCAGAGTGATCTGTTTATGATCTCCAGACCAGGGTATTGTTGTGAGTCCTGACTCTTGGTCCACTAAACCAGTTCAGTCCAGTCCACCATCTACTGAACTGGTGACCTTGAGCAAGTTCACTAACCTCAGTGACCATCCCTAACATAGAGTGTTCCTGACTTACCAGGCATTGTTAGGATCAAATGTTTAGGAAGTACATTTCTGCACCTAATTAGCATTAATGCTGTTGGGATGTTACCATCAGCTAGATATGTCTATTCCAGGAATTTTGTCCCTGGAAACACTGACCCAGAATTTAAGGATTAAAAATTAAGTTTTTCTGGTGCTTAATGGATCTCCTGGGCCAGAGGTTTTACCTGGGAACTCTAACTGAACTTCAGCAAGTCTGAATAAGCTAGACTGTTTCCCAAGGCTGGGACATCTCTATATTGGTGCAAATCTGGGGTGAGGGCCACAGTGTTCGAAACATTCTTAGCGGGTCTTTGCACCCACAGAGACCTAAGGGTCAGCGAAGGCTGATTGTTGCTCAGTGGGTGAGAGGCCATTGAGGTAATTTCTGCTCCTCATGGAGCCTGGCCTCAGTCGGTCTGTGGACTTTTGGGGTGAAGCGGGAGATGGTGTGGTCAGCGGCCCTCTTGGAAGAGCTATAGAAGCCATCACGAAGGTCAGCCCCCAATCTGGTGAGGTCACCTCCGAATCCAGGCTTATTTGTTTCCATCATAAATATATTAGAAACAAGGTCAGGACTTGCTGGCCAACTTGGAGAACTTGCCAACCTGACCTGAACCCCTTCCGTGTATGCCTTGGGGATAGGAGTGGGGATCTGCACCTTCCCTCGTTTTTTGGACTCAGGAATGCTGCCCCTCTGCCATGAGTGGATGTGGATCCAGCACAGTGATTGAAAACAGAAGCCATAAATCTTACAGTTTGCTGTGCCACGTTCTGTGCGGAGGCAGGTGGGCTGGAAGCATGGTGGAGCCTCAGTCCAGAGCCACAATGTTCCCAGGCAGAGGAGGGGGCCCAGGTGTGATGCATGGGTTTACTCATGAAGGTGAACATGACCTAGATTGGGTTGGGGGGTCAGCTTTGAGTCTGGGGTGGAATCTGAACAGTGACTTGGGGAAAGTTGGAGCGGACTAGGCAGATGAAGGGAGGGAAGGGACCCTGGCAAAGGGTCTCACCTCTGCATAAACCTGGTGAGCGAGCACCCTTTGGGGTCTGGTGTTTGTGTGTATATCTGGATTGAGATGGGAGGAATGGCCAGGGTGACAAGAGCAGGTGTTAATGGCCACCTGTAGAGCTCAGGGAGTTTGAACCTTTAACCCAAAGGTTGGGGTGGTGTTGGGAAGGGACATGGCTGGCTAGTATTTTAGAAAAAGTCATAGATGTCTAGAGCTAGCAGAAGAAAAGTGCTGGCCTTAGCCAGAGGAAGGCCCCAGCTATCACACTGACATACTGGATGAGCTTGAGGCAAGAGCTTCACTTGACTGCACCTCGGTGTTCTTACCTGTAAAGCTGGATGAGAGTGGAATCTGACCACCTGGCTGTTGGGATCACTACGTGGAAATAAACACATGAAGGTTAAGCCGGCCTGTGAGAGGTTGGTGTTGGCCACAAGGTGCCCCCAAACCCTTTGGGCAGAGCCTGCTCTTGGCATCCACAAAGCAAAGCCCTCAGACTAAGGTTCCTTCTTAGACTTTCTAGGAGGCCCTGAGCTAGCCTGTCCCTCAGGAGAGCTCATTCTACCCTACTCTGCCCTGCCCACCCCACCAGATCAAAGCACCCTCTATTTCTTTATCCCACTATCCATCTTCCCTGCCAAATAGTTTTTCTTTTTTATATTAAAGCTATCACACTAGTAATAACAATATTGAAAAAGGAAAAAATGCCCATACTTCCTTTGTCCCACCATCCCCCACCACATAGCTTTTCTTGTCTGTTGCTCAGCTTCCACCCTTAGTTCCCACTCGCCACCTCCAATTTCCAGATTTCCTGCTCTCATCTTTTCTCATGCCTGCATACATTTGCTGATGTTGTTTCTTCTGATTTGCAAACTCTCTAAGACCCTGTCCCAAGAGCTCCTGTGCAGCCTTGCTGTAGGCCAGGGGCAGAGGGAGAGACAGCTTCCATCCATTCCTCCAGCCCAGCCTCCTGTCTTGGATCTCTTGGGACTGTCAAGGTGTCTTAGTGGGGGACTCAGTGGAAGCCTCAGTGAGTGAACTAAGCTTAGACGATCCTAGGGTGGAAAGGGCAGAGATGCTGGGGTGGGCAGTTAGTTATGCTTTGCCTTAGAAAACCCAGGGCAGCTGATACGAGATGTTGGTCTTTTGCTTTTTCCACTTGTTGATTTGTGTCTTGGCAAGTGTGAACTGGGGTACACTCTGTGATCCTGTGTAACAGATACAACTGGATCCTAGCTTTCTCTTCTGCTGCTTTTAGATTTTCCTGGATATTTCTTAGTCATCTTGGCAGGGAGTTTCTATTTTTAGCACCACTACCTCTTAAGGGACCAAAAATAAAGCTGGCTTATTGTCCTGGCCCCTTATTGGCTGGAGTGTTGGTCACAGGTTTGGGAATTGGCTGGGCTGGAGATAAGCCACTGTCCCTTTCCTGTGGCCTGGTGTGAGGTCATATTGACTAGGGCAGAAACTAGCAATTAACATGTTGAACTGAGGGCTTTACCAGGTTCCCTTAGTGGAGCTTTCCAACCACTGCTGCGTCAGGGTTGCCATCCTCAGCTTACAGCAGTAGAGACCAAGGCCTTGAGAAGAGCAGTGACTTGTATCAAGTGCCACAACTTGTCCACTAGGGTGAAGCCCACCTCCATAGCTGGAGTCAGCTGCAGAATGACATGGGGTAGGGTTGTCATGGCATCCTACAGTGAGATGTGCTCCTACCTGGGAGGGGTCTAGCAAAGCCAGAATGACTCCCTCATCTGGGACTTGGATTTCCCATCCAGCACCCTGGACCATGGTCTTAGTAGGGAGTAAGGGCTCCCATCAGTGACCTTGGGATACAAGCAATGCTCAGAAGGAAAGATATGAAGAGGTAGCATGTTCCTCCCAGCACCCATTTCCCCTCCTATACCTCAGCTATTGTTCTGTAAGCTTCTCAACTCAGGTCCCTTAGCTCTGAACCCATGGGGATTGGTGGGAGTGGGGGATTACTTTCATCAGTGAAGGCAAACATGCCCTAGAAGGGGCCAGGCTGGATGTCACCTAGCCTCAGAAATGCAGCTCTTAAAAAAAAAAAAAAAAATGGGGCTTGGAGAGCCATCTTTCCCATAGTGTAGTGTTCACGAGTCGGGCTGCTAATTTCACAGTCAGCAGTTCAAAACTACCAGCTGTTCCGTGGGAGAAAGATGAAGCTTTCTGCTCCTGTAAAGATTTACAGCCTTGGAAATCCTATGCAGGGTCGCTATGAGTCGGAACCGACTCCACAGCACACAGCCACCACCACCACCACCAGGGTCTTCTGCTAACACAGTCCTGGGATGGGGGCCTGAGGGCTTTGGTAGAAACACCCCATGCTCAGATAGCCAGTACTGGCCCACGAAGTGGGAGGAATAGCAACAACGACTTTGCAGTGGGAGCACCGTGACTTTAAGATAAGCACTGGAGTACAAACCACAAGGTTGGTAGATCAGCAGCTCCACAGGAGAAAGATGATGCTGTCTGCTTCTGAAAAGATTTATAACCTCGGAAACCCTTTCCAAGTCACTATGAGAACTGACTTGACTTGACGGCACCTAACAACAATAACATTACTTTGAGGTTGCTAAGAGGATTAAATGAAAAGACCGAGTGCTCAGCTCTTCCAAAAGGCCCTTCCCTTTAGTGAGTAAGCTAGGGCCTGCCCTGACCTTCTTTGGTCCTGGCTTGATCCTCAGCACCTGCTCTGTTTGGCCCACCACTGGGCTTCTAGCGCTGGTCTGCTTGGGAAGGGTCTCTTAGCAGTTCCCCCATGGCTTCTCAGTGTCCCCTAGGAGAGCAGACTTAGCAAAGGACTCTCTTGCTCAAGGAGGCCAGGGAGGGATGGGGTCAGGGAAGAGCCAGTGGCTGGCTCCCTGCTACCCCCACAGCACTAACTCTTCCCTCCTTGTCTCTCACTGGTCTTGCAGGTCTCAGCGAGGCCCGGTGACGCTCCAGAATGGGAGACAAGCCAATTTGGGAACAGATTGGATCCAGCTTCATTCAACATTACTACCAGTTATTTGATAATGACAGAACCCAACTAGGCGCCATTTACGTAAGTCTCTAGCTCTAGGGCTAGAGTGGGGCCATGGGGATCAGGTCAGATGTTGGGCCAGTACATCCAGTTCATGCACAAATTCTGACAATTCTGGTTGGATTTGACTAGACTCTCTGTCTAAACTTCTGTTCATGAGATAGGGGTACTGATGCCTGGTCCCAGCTATCTGGTCTGCTTTTAAGAGTGAAGGTCACACACTGCTGGGCAATGTACAGTGTATGGTGTGCTTGCCTGTCTACTCTAGATTATGCTCAATGGTTTTGTTAACAAGCTATGCTGTAAATTTCTGTCATATTTGCTATTTCCTAGTACAGCGTAGTTTATCTCCCCACCCCCACCCCCCTTTTCATTTGAATAAAAGCATGGCACCAAATGAAAAAAAAAAAAAAGTGAAGGTCATTGTACCCTGGGTAGGGTATTCTGGTCTTGCCATTCCATGTGGCCAAAACCCTGGCAGGGTACGTGGTTCAGGACATACCTCTGTTTCAGGTTGAGATGGCAGAGGCCAGGGCTCATAGTGCCCTCTGGTGGCAATAGCCCTGAGCATTCTAGTAGAAAGCTGAGCTGTCCTGAAGGATCTGGGTCCAACTTCTTTCTGGTCCTTTAGTGTTTATAAGAACTAACTAGTGGGATTACTACAGGGAGACTAGTGTGTCTCTGAGAAACCCTTCCTTTCAGGCACTGGGGGGAAAAGGGAATCTTACTAGTGGAGGCTGAATCCAGCACAGGTATGATTTGATCATTCATTATCATATAGGAGGCTCTGTAGGATAAATACTGGACTGTGAACCACAAGGTCAGCAGTTCAAGCCCATCATCTACTCCTTGGGAGAAAGATGACACTTTCCACTCTTGTAACAATATAAAACCTTGGAAATACCATACAGGGTCACTGACTTATACAGGGACTTAACTTATCATGGGTAGATGAGGCTTTCTGCTCCCACGAAGATTTAAAGCCTCGGAAACCCTGTACAGGGTCTCTATGAGTTGAAACCAACTTGATAGCATATAACAACAACAACCAAATCATAGGTAGAAGGTTTTTTTGTTTGTTTGTTTGTTTGTTTTCATTAACTGGTCTATGAGATCCTAGCACTTCTTCCTTCTTCGTTACTTTTTTTTTTTTTTTGCTTTTGAGAATATACACAGCAAAAAGATACACTAGTCCAGTTTATGCATATACCATTCAGTGATACTGATGACTGTCACTCTCCTCTGAGTTCCCCCACCATTAAGATGACCTCCATGCCCCCTAAGGTTCCCACTCCTCTTTTGAGTTGCTGTTGTCAGTTTGATTCTATGTAGCTAGAACATACTGCTTAATGCCTCATGACTCCTTAAAAATCAATGAAAGAGGGCCTGATCCAGAGAAGGCAAAGAAGAGAATTAGCAAGACTGGACTCCTGGTGTGGTGCTATAGGATTAACACCGGACTGTGAACCACTGGATCGGCAGTTCAAATCCACCTGCTGCTCCTTGGAAACCCTATATAGGGTTGTTATGAGTCAGAAATGACTCAATGGCACGTCACAACAACAAAAGAGCACTTTATGTACATCATTTCATAAAATTCTCAGCACATTTCCCTTTGAATATCTGAAACTCAGAAAAATAAGTGACTTGCTTATGTCATAGCCAGCAAATAGCAGAGTCCATGTTTATTTTGGCATTGCGACTGTGGAAGAAAGGACTTGGAGGAGAGAAGGCTAAACTCATGGGGTGCGTGTGCCTGTTGTAGGTAGAGAATGCCCCAGTCTGGGCCTTTGGAGGCCCTGTTGGCCTCTTCTTCCCTCCCTCCTTCCCTGAACCAGAAGTCTAGCTGGAAGAACCTCAGTGGATCTCAGCCTAGGTCCTGCAGATGGTAAAGAACAAGGGGTGCTTGAGAGTTATTTCTAGCGGCTTCTGTGGGGCCAGTGCCTACTGACCAAGAAGCAGGATGGTTTTAGGCTGAGCCGTGGACATAGGACTAGCCTGGGGCCTATCCATATCAGAGGCCATATTAATCCTTGAATAAAAATTGGGAATTGAATTTACCTAATAAATGTATTTGTCAAACAGTCTCTAAATCTGGGCCCATAGGACGGTGGGTGTCATTAAAGCTATTGATAAAGTAAAATATGGAGGCTGCCCATACCAGACAGAGAAATGGAATTGTGGATTCACTTCCCCAAGCAAGAACCCTTTCAGAGCTATGATCAGGGCCCTTAGAGATACTCCTTGTGTTCTGGCACTCTGACCCTGAGCTTTCCAGTGTATTTTTGTTTTTTCCTTCAGATTGACGCATCATGCCTTACGTGGGAAGGACAGCAGTTCCAGGGGAAAGCTGCCATTGTGGAGAAGTTGTCTGTAAGTAAGGGTCAGGGCCAGGTGTAGGCAGCCTCCTTCCCTGCTCCTGCTGCCCTCACTTAGCCCCTTTTCTATTCTTTATCTTGCAGAGCCTTCCATTCCAGAAAATTCAGCACAGCATCACGGCGCAGGACCATCAGCCCACACCAGATAGCTGCATCATCAGCATGGTTGTGGGCCAGCTCAAGGTAACAGCGCTGATGCAGTGCTAGGGGAGAGTTGATAGGCAGAAAAGAGCCCTGTGTCCCAGCCTGCCCTGTGACACGCTTGTAATGGTAACCCAAAGTGTAGTTCGATAAAGTAGCCACTAGCCACGTGTAGTGATATTTAAATTGCATTAATTAAAAATTTGATTCTTTGGTTATAATGACCAAGTTGCAAGTGCTCAGTAGTTACATGTGACTAGTGATTACCTATCAGACAATGCATAGGAAGCTCGATTCAATTACCGAGCGCTGGTCTGGAGACTTTTTGGAGAAGAGACAGGAGGAGCGTGAGGAATGAGGGGTGAGGGGCAGGACAGGGCTGTGGTGCCATGAGGTGTGGTGGGGCCTATAGTCCCCTAGTTGCTGTGCCTGGCTGCTGGGCACAGTAGCTTCTCTCTATACCACCCCTGTCATCCTCAAAGTTTTCCTTCAACCCCTCAGGTGCCAAAAACGCCTCCCAGAAGCCCTATCTGTTGTGCCCTAGCAGACCACCACCAATTTCTCAGCGTCCATAAAGCTCATTTTTTCCCAAAGCAGCACCAAAATTGACTTCCCAGCCCCTGGGCTTAGTTGTTTTGGTGGGCTTAGAATAACAGGTTACACGCCTTCTCCCTAGGCTGTGCTGAAGTGTGGGGTGCTTTCTGGGTCCCTCCCATACAGTGGTTAAAGGGCCCATGGTAGACCCAGAAGGACCTGCCTGCCTGTCCAGGATTTCTTCCTGATTAGCCCTGTGGGTTTAGAAGGCCTACCCAGGGAACTCAGTGCCCACTTGGCTTTGGGTTCTTCAACTCAGAGCCTCCAAAAGATTGATTTGCCTCATTCCTGTAAATAAGTCTCAGGAAAGTAGGTACTGTTAGAGAACAGGCTAGTTAACTCAGCTCCTGGACTCGTACCTCATCTCGGCCTCGCCCTGGTTTTCTGTAGTTTGTCTGGAAGTTTTCTCTTTCGTTATGTCATATATTACATCACTGGAGACAGAGCTGGGTTTTTTGCTTCCGTAGAACTGTAGTCACATTATGAGCTCAGTTTTGAGCCTTTCCTCACATACTTTATCTTGACCACAGTCAGTGTTAGGAGCAGTTTCTCCAAATTGGACTGACTGATATTTTCAGACATTTAGATTGTTTACAGGTTTTGATACAGTACCAGGGGGCTTCAAAAAGTTCATGAAAATGGAATGAAAAGATAACGGAATTTCCCCACAAACTTAAAGTGTGATAAATACTGGAATTCTTTCAAAAGTGTGATCACTTTTGCCCAGAGACATGGATTCAAGGGCAGGTGTGTTCTCTGTTGTCTGTTGTGTTGAAGTCATTGCAGTGTGAGCTGCTATCTGCTGACCCCATTATATGCCCAGTACAGGCATGAATATTCTTTGGCTACTGAGATTTGAGCCCATGACAGTAGGACCTGATCCCAAAGGCAACTTTCTTTGCCCTGTTCTCCTACCACTGAGCCCCATTCCTGTCTTTTTGGTCCCCTTACTGAACTTTACATTTTCTCTGTCTTCACAGGCTGATGAAGACCCCATCATGGGCTTTCACCAGATGTTCCTATTAAAGAACATCAACGATGCTTGGGTTTGCACCAATGACATGTTCAGGCTTGCTCTGCACAACTTCGGCTGACCTTGTCCCAGCCAGGCACTCATGCTGTTTCCTCCTCCCTCCTCTACCCGATACTATTCACACTCCTCCAGATGCTCCAAATATCATACACAAATGAGCAGGGCCAAGGTGGGAGTGGGCGCAGTGCGCTGCTTCTGTCAAGGTGTTGTGTATGATGTTTGGACGCTAGACTAGTTGCATCTGACAGGAGATGTTTGTGTTGTACCAGCGCATGCCTTGGAAAGACTTAAGTAATGCAAAAGGTTGTCTTTTTTTTTTTTTTTTTTTTTT